AGTACTTAACATCACAGTCCCAGCAACAGAGAATGAAGCTCTAAGGCACCAGTTGCCGTTCCAATGGTGCACGTCCCATATGCAATATCTATGAACAGCTCTCACTAGGGGCCCGGGGGACATGTACCAGATGAATTTTATACCTCTCTTACAGCGTATACAGCACGATCTGAAGAAGTGGTCTTACCCTCACATATCATGGTTTGGTAGGATTGCAATACTCAACATGAACGTGCTACCCTGGATCCTATATCTATACCAAACACTACCCCTAGCCCTACCTACGGCTTATTTCGCATTATTATGATCGTCTATGATATGCTTCGTATGGGGAGGAGGCCAGTCAAGACTCCACCACAAAATACTCTGCCTAGCAAGAGAATGGGGGGGGTTTGGCACTCCCTGACCTTCATAAATACCACCACACAACTGTCCTACAGAGGATACTAGATGGCATACCCACCCGACACCCAAACAACGGGTTGAACTCGATAAAGGTCACCTGCAACCATTCCTTCTCAGGGCAATGTGGAATTCGAAAAAGACCCGTACAAACGGATCTCGACCCGACTTCTACAGTGGCCCAAACGCTGAAGACATTGGACAGCATCAGGAAAGCCCCACATTTATCCCCAACTCCGAGCCCAATGATCCAGATACAATAGAATACTGAAATAGGGGGTGGACTACCACCTCTGTCATGGGACTTCCTAGGCGGAGGGGACTCTCTTCCTATACGTAAGCTATTGAACAACGCAGGCATGATACCACCACTGGAACTGACTGGAGATAGCCCACCATGGAATCTGCAAACATTTCGATACACACAAATCAAATATTTCTACCAGAAGCTTCCACATAGGGATGCGCTACACCGTGATCTTACTTGGTTTGAAAGACTTTGCGAAAGCAAAACCAACCTAGATAGGGCAGTGTCCCTTATATAATCCCACCTCTTCATGGGACACTAGAGAGTAAAGACACTTTCCGCCGACGATGGGTGCATATCCTAGACAAGTTTTTCACTGTGGCTTTGTGGGAGAAGATACTGATACTTCACCAGAAATGCTCCCCTAGTTTCAAATATCAGGGATTTCAACTATAAAACACCCGACCGTTTACACAGAATCTTCCCGGCAGTGCCTAATGTCTGCTGAAGATGTGGAGAGGGACCAGGAACGATAACGCATGCAGTGCAGCTAAAGGCAGAGGAGATTCTCAGCGACACAGGACGTTTCGTCGCAGCTACCGTTGCGGCCTACAAAAAAAAAAAAAAAACGATCTTGTGACTTCTGTTGAACGCTGCCAAAACCTTGATCCCGCTACATTGGAAGCAAGACACGACCCCTACGATGGGTCAATGGATGGACAGGGTAGAGGAGATATACATGGCGGGGTCTGTACAGGCCTCACTGAGTGGAAATGATGAGAAGCATGAGGAGTGTTGGCGGCTGTGGCTTTGAGGGATTCAGGGGCGGGGGAGGGGGCGCAGTCATAAAGGATGGAGTTGGATCACTCCTATCCTGCTTCTGACCCACCTTCCTGTGTGATACGTCCTAGATACCTTAATCTTCACATGGATCACCCCCACTTGCCGGGTGTGCTGCATACCCTAGGAAACTGGGCTAGCTCATGAATTATATCCCTCTTTTCTTTTTCTTTCTTTTTATCATCTTTCTCTACTTTATCCCCCCCCCCCATACTCCTCTTCCTCCCTTTAACTTTATTCCTGCCCTCTCTTTCGTTCTTCAACAGTCATTTTCCTTACTACGACTTTATCCATCCTCTTCCTTTTTATAAAATCATACAATTGCCGCCTGCAAACATGGGAGAGCTGGAATTCTATGCTTACTGACAAGTAACTAACAAATACTCTGCATACCCACTATCGCATTTTGTTCACATTGCACACTATATACCTGCGAGCTATAAGTCATAGGCTATTGACTTACCGACTGCAAGTAACCAACCCATTTACTAGTGCAAAAAGTTAGTCTTGGTATTGTCTTGGCCATAATTAATGCACAAAATACGAATAAGCCTATACCATGCTGTGTTCTGGTTATATGTTTGGCTAAATACCACTGAATACTTTGAATATATTGATATTGCTGTTAGGACCTGCGTGTCTGATCTGTTTGATGCACCTTTTATGCATGTACCTACTCATTTTTGCTGTGCTCAATAAAAAGCATTCTTAAAGGGACATTCCAGGCACCCAGACCACTTCTGCCCATTGGAGTGCTCTGGGTACCAACTCCCACTACCCTTAAGCCTGCAACTGTAATTATTGCAGTTTTCATGGACTGCAATAATTAGGGATTATTCTAGCCTCGGTGAGGGAATAATCAAAATTTTATTAAAGACAGGAGGCGAATATTTGCTTTACCTTCTTTACTGAAACCTCCAGCAGCAAAGAAACAGTTAACAGAACTTTTCAAAACAACCAATCAGAACAAAGCAACAGTGTGTATAAAACCCCTTAGCAGGCTCTTCCACTTCCTCTTTCTTTGATGAGGTTGAGAAGGAGAGCAAGGAAACCAACAAATCCACCTTGTAGCAGACACATCCAGAGAAACAATCGAAAACAGATTACACTGCAAGAAAACAGAAAACATTGTGAAAGTAAACTGTCAAGGCAAGATGTCATATCCATACAATATCACTTGCACATCAAAATACCTGATGTATAAACAAAGTCTACAGATCTTATGAAGACCTAGTATCTAGTATGTACCTAAACTAAAAGGCATTGACGAAACATAATTACAACACAAACATGATGAATAAGACGCACACGGACAATCATCACTGAATAGAAATAACCTTTATGTAAAACCATGCATTCACAAAACATAACAATATCCCCAATTATTTATAATAGAATAAGACCTAAATCCAGGGAGGGAACGTAAAAAAATAAAATAAAAAAATAAAAATAAAAAAGGGGGCGGGGTGGGAATATTCGCCTCCTGTCTTTAATAAAATTTAGATTATTCCCTCACCGAGGCTAGAATAATCCCTAATTTTATGGCAGGACAGGAGGCTTCATATTTGCAATTTTAACGCCCAAATTGTAGAACCAGAAGCAATATGAGATAGAGGACTAAAATAAAAGGAGAATGGAAAAACCGATTCCCTAAACCAAGCAGCGGTGTAGAGAAAATGCAGAACGTCAGAACGCGATGAAATACAAGATGTACTGGGGAAAAACCGTAAGCAGAAAAAACTGGCGCAAGGCAAGTCCTTGTCATCAGGTCATTCCTCAAGGAAATGCAGAACACACGATACCACTAGAATTGAGGAATAGCGAGAGATAGGGCTCCCATACGGTATACTCCTCTTGGTAGACTGCAGACCAAGAGATCCTTAGCAATGCCAGAATCTTGAGAAAACGCACATGAGTCACCCAACAACTAGCTGACATAGGACGTGAATGGCCCCATACGATCCTACCCTAAGAGGGCAACTCAGCCAGACAATGGGGACAGCCATGATAAGGACCGCCATGGGGACCCAAACATCTCTCCAGACACCAGTCGTGGCAGGCTACCCCTGTGGATCCCACACGGGACATTAAGAGACAGGGAGTCGTAGATTGCCTTCCCATGGCAAACTCCAGCAAAAAGGGGAAAGCACGGAGGACTCCTCCGAAGTGGAATGACCAGGCAAAACGACACTTCCAGGAATTCGGTGTGAAGCAAAACTCAAAGTATCCGGTAGGTAAATGGGATGCGTACACCCCGAAAGAGACCAAGCTTGGAAAACGCGTCCTTCGCCGAGGGTCCGGCAGCCAGCTGGAGAACTGCTCCGTATGGTGGTTCACACCGAATGTAATCATGCCAGTACCCGAGACCCCAGAAGGTGAGGCAACCAATCAATGGGGTCTCTCCATGGTCGGGTGAAGCCGTCTGCCACATGAGTGTCTCGTCCCGCAGACATTCTGTCACAAATGACGAATACTTGTCCAGATGCTATAGATAGCGATCCTATGTGAGATCCGACTGCAGTCCGTAGTGGGCAACCGGTGATAAGTCCATGCCGGAAGGTAGCAAGCAATACTACTTCCCCCGGGGAAGCTGCGAATGGTGAACAAACCTGCAGGTAGTTCCATGCAGTTGGCGTGAAGAGGTCCTTCCTCCGGACTCAAGGCCGAAGTTGGTTGGGTTCCGAAACTCCTTGGTAGGCCAGGTCCCCCTATGTCGTCAATTAAGTTTTAGATGAGCTTCGTCCGAAGGTAACATGATTCGGTCTTATCAGGCCGAAGACCCGAAAAAGCGTCATGTTGGAGCGGCTGATAGTACCGGATCCTGGAGGTATGGCCTCCATGGCAAATAACAACTGGTCAATCGACCGGGTTGGGCCCCTAAGTGTGACCCACGGGTTGCGGAGCATATGCCTGGTATTTTCCTTGAAGGCGGACATCTTGGTCCTCGGGAGGCGGAGTACCGCCTGGACCGAATATTCCATGAAAGACCAGAAACTGGGTTGACTAGGAGTGAGTCAGATTCAATATGTCCACGTTGATGGCAAAATCCATGCGGGTTTCTCTCATGTCCAGTTGAGGGAGAGAACCAATCGTCCACCCCGAGCAGCTCTCTGAGGGGATGAGTGCCCTCTGTCTCGAAGTGTCAACAGGCGACATTTGCACTGGGAGCATGTAGCGTGGGGATGGAGCGGGAGTCCACTCCACCACACCCTTCACCCAGCAGGGCAACTTCTGAATGAGTCGGAATGGATGCCTCTTTTGGTCATGCGTATTGCTCATGGAACGGTCCAAGGTTCCGCAACCTTGATCCTGAGTCCGGGCACTGTCCGAGAGACCTCTGAGGCTAGTTAAGGGGGAACCATATGAATAGAGACGTGTCAGCTCAATTTGTACGTGAGGGTAAATCTGGAGAGCAGACCCAGCACTTTGATTCCAAATCCATCAGTTTGATGTCCAGCTTGGACAGGGGCCGTTTTGCGGTTCTCATGGGTAGAAACCAACTAGGCGATACCTATAAGTCATATCGGTCCATTCCCAATGGGAATTTGGTCTTCTCCACTTTCCAAGCTGTAACGCGCCGTTCGTCCCGAGGAAACATCTGTGTCCGCGTGTCATCGACATCCAGTGGGTAGTCCCGGATAGAGTGCAAACCCTGTGTCAGGAGTTTGCGGTGTCCTTTCCGGACTCCGTCGTGAAGACTGATCCTCTTGATGAAGCGTCCAGGATGGCCAGCGGAGTGTCCCCTGTAGGGTACTGATGGTTTCTGGCAGTGAGGCCAGCGGGGCGGCATGAGGACAGGCCAAGTGACCTGGGTACGGGAGATTTGTCCTTCAGTCATGATTGCATAACTGTCATAGAGGTAACACTGTCGGAGTGATACCTGGGTGCGGCCAGCTGGGGGTCACCCAGCGTGCAAGAGGGTGTCACCCAACAAGCACAAGCATACCATGCAGTATAGGCCAGACGGGGAGGGGGTCACCCTCAGTCTGAACATAATCAGACACTGTAGGTACAGTAGTGCCGTAGTGGTTAGCCGTATAATAAAGTAACCAGACGTTGCCGGTCCAGCAGTGCAGACGGCAGGAGGGGGTCACCCTCAAATAACCATAACCGGGCATTGAAGATCCAGCAGTGCTGTAGGTAAGAGGGGGTCACCCTCAGTGTGGTATCATAGAGGTCTGTACACCCAGTAGTGTAGTCAGCGAGAGGGGTCACCCTCATTATGGTTATAACGGGACCCTGTAGGTCCAGCAGAGTAGTCCACAGGAGGGGGTCACCCTCAGTATCTGCGTATAGCAGGGCACTGTAAGAACAGAAGCTCAGTCAGTGGGAGGGGTACCCTCTTTTATGGGAATACCCGGACGCTGCAGGTCCAGCAGTGCAGACTGTAGGAGGGGTTCCCTCTCGGTATGATAATAACAGGACATTGCCGGAGCATTAGTGTAGGAAGCAGGAGGGGTCACCCTCAGCATTAATCTTACAGGACGCCGTAGAGCCAGCAGGGTACTCATTGGTAGCCATGTTGCCAGAGGGAGGGGGTCACCCAGCCCACAATGGTGTCACAAGTCCATTATTATGGTCCAGTAGCGGGTAGAGCCCCAGAAATATGGACGGGGGGTCACCCCCCGTAATAACAGGGCTGTATGTGGGGCCAGTTAGCCCCCCTGAGGGGTAGATGGGTCCATACAGCTAGAAGCTGACTCACAGACCATTCAGGTATTATATTAGGATACACTTTTGAAGTGTATGTATAGTGGAAAAATTTAAGTCCCTTGATGGAAGGGTAGCAAATACTAGGCAGGGGAGCTAGGTGCTGAAAAACAGGCCATTTAATTTTTATGAGAAAATGACTGAACCTTAAGAGAAAGACTTGATTAGCATCTATCACATGTGGCATAGGCTTGTTAAACAATGATTTTTTTGTAAAAAATGATTTTTTATTTGAGCAGTAGCATGCCCCTTTAAATCTAAGATTTACATCTAATTAGTAAAAAAGGGGGGGATAGCTGAAAAACTGGGCTATCTCCCCTGATATAGGGATAGGGGAGGGTGGCCACATGGCCAGCAGGGCAGTTTGGTAGGTGAGACTGGGCTGTTCGCAACGCACGGAGCCCATGCGGCTCCGAAAAATGGGCGCCACGGCTCCAACAAAATGGCCGCCGCTGCAAAAATTGAGCACGGCCTACCGCGTGGTGATCGCGCGGCACTGCCACGGTTGAAAAAGCTGCTCAGCAAGCGGCCAGGGGCTGCCGGGAGCAGGTGGGGAATAACGGAGAAAGGGTATGGGCGACAGAGCCCAGCAGGGGAACTCGGGGAGGAGAAACAGATTACAGGCAGAGCCAAAGCATCATAGCAGGGGCACCCATTCCCCATACAGCAGAGTGAGAAAAACTGCATAAAGTAAGCCAGAATAACAATAAATCAATGAGTAGTATCCAGAACCTGTCAGATAAATAGCCTAAATACAGCTACAGATGTAAACAAATGATAATGCAGCTACATAGCATGAAGTGGTATAGGAAATAACACAGAATAGACTGCCTAGCTAAACCCAGCAATAGACTGCCTAGACAAACCCAGCAATAGACTGCCTAGCTAAACCCAGCAATAGACTGCCTAGATAAACACAGCAATAGACTGCCTAGCTAAACCCAGCAATAGACTGCCTAGATAAACACAGCAATAGAATGCCTAGCTAAACCCAGCAATAGACTGCCTAGCTAAACCCAGCAATAGACTGCCTAGCTAAACCCAGCAATAGACTGCCTAGCTAAACCCAGCAATAAACCCAGCAATAGACTGCCTAGCTAAACTCAGCAATAGACTGCCTAGATAAACACAGCAATAGACTGCCTAAATAAACACAGCAAGAACCCTGCCTAAATAAAAACCAGCCATTAAGCTGCCTAAACAAACCTAGCAAATAGACTGATTAAATAGACTGTTTAAATAAACAAGCAGCATGTAGGATAAAAAAAACAACCAAGAGCAGAGACAACTCTGAGTTGGTGAGTGCTCACCTGGAGGCAGCCGCAAAGAAAGAGGAAGTGGAAGAGCCTGCTAAGGGGTTTTATACTACTGTTGATTTGTTCTGATTGGTTGTTTTGAAAAGTTCTGTTAACTGTTTCTTTGCTGCTGGAGGTTTCAGTAAAGAAGGTAAAGCAAAAATGAAGCCTCCTGTCCTGCCATAAAATTACCTTGCAGGGTTAACTCCTCCTCTAGTGGCTGTCTACTAGACAGCCACTAGAGGGCACTGCCTGGTCTATAGCACAGGTTTTTCCTCCAGCGTCGCTAAAATCCCCATAGGAAAGCATTGAAAAGCATTTCAATGCTTTCCTATGGAGAGGTCTAAGGCGCCTGCACGGCATTGCCGCGCATGCGCATTAGGTCTCCCCCACCAGTGGGCGTGCTCAGTCTCCTCCACCGACTGATGTAAAGAAGAGGAGGAGTGTGGGCGGACCCAGAAGCAGCGCCGAGGGACATTGTTGCTGCCTTAGGTAAGTCACTGAAGGGGTTTTGACCCCTTCAGCAACTGGGGATGGGAGGTGGGAGGGAGAGGGGACCTGCAGTGCCAGGAAAATGGATTGTTTTCCTGGCACTGGAGAGTCTCTTTAAAAAATAAAAAATAAAGTTATAGGAAGGAACAGCTATAGCAGTGATGGCTAACATTGACACCATAAATCGTTTCTGGACTACATTTCCCATGAGTCTCAGCTAGCTGAGCATCATGGGAAATGTAGTCCAGAAACAATTTATGGTGTCAAGGTTAGCCGTCACTGAGCTATAAGAACACTAGTAAGGTTTAGCATACAGACTCAATAAGCAAGCACAGAGCATTCCACCATGATAGTTTAAATAGGAGAACAATTACAAAGACACCTGAGAGAGGGTGACACCTGATGCGCTTCCTTTGCCCTGAATCTGTCTCACAGGCAGCCTGGATCCCAGTCTGAAAGCTGGCGAGACTCGCAGAGCAGAACCTCAGGGTGAACCGCGCAGAGCTGAAGGGTGCCCAGATATCTTCTGGTCTCACCCTCTGCCAGATGCAGAAGCCCTCCACACTGGACCACCAGGGATAGACATATTCCTCCTTCCTGGCCCAATGTAATAATTGGGAGGGAGAGTAAACATTGCTTACAAATTAAACAGCTTGTCCCTTGCCCATTTACTTTGTTTCTTGATAAATCCAAATTGTATTTCGTAATTGCAGAATTCAGACCAATTGCCTTTTGCACTTATAGCTATTGGAGGCACTTATTGTTTGTACAATTTTATTTTATTTTGTTCCAATAAATATATTTTAAACCAAGAAGCTGGTGCTCTCCATCAAATTCCATGAAGACCTGGTATTCCTGAAATGGGACCTGCATTATCTGATTATGCTTTACTACCTGAGCCAGTTTGCTAACAGGCTCATTAGAATGTGAGTTGAACACCTAAAGAATACACCAAGTGACAAATCTGGGATATTACTACACTACTCTATGAGCGTGTTGTTTTTGTTAATTATTCCTGGAAGAAGTAACATCACTGTATTCATTTCTAGGTATACCTATACTCACTTTTTTACACATTGGGTGGTGTGAACCCTGGGAGCTAGATTATTAAATACTGCTCTTACATACTATGCGCTGAGCACTTTACCTTGTATTGTATAACTTTAAAAAACACAACCACCACAGCTCCCTAGTGTGCTCTGGTGCCTTTGATCTTGATTGATTTTGTTTGATAAACCTTCTCTGGGGCCCGTCCCAGCCTCATCGATAATACATAATTAACACATTCACATTGTCAATGTTATTTTAGTCAACCTGAAAGACATTGTTCAGCTGAGAGTGCTGGGGATTGGTTAGTGTCATTCAGGTTGTATGAAATGGGCATTGTAATTAATACAGAACTGTTAATTGTGCAGTATTTCTCTGGTAGTGATGAGAGGTCCAAGTTAAAATGGTATCGAATTGTTTAATAGTAAACATAGGGACAATGCCAGAGTAACCTATTATGGTTATGTTGCTTTCAGTGTTCCTTTAAGACTAGGTTTGTGAAGATAATTTGTAAACCTGTCAATAAAAGGAGAAAATAATATAACAATACTAATACTTGAAAAATATACAAAAAATCATGTACTTCTGGGGTTTGCTCGCTAATTATAAAATTGTAGTGATATGAAAATTGAAAAATTCAGACTAACATAGCCAAGCTGATATAATTGAGTAGGAGACTTTTTCAAAATCAGCATAAAAATTGCAATCTATTGTTCACTCTACAACATACATGTCAAACTCGTTGGCTGCGGGCCGCATGTGGCCCACAATGGACATCTTTGCCCTGTGAGCTGCCAGTACATGCATAGTGTTCCAAGCAGAGTAGGCACATGCTTTCCCCACATTTGTCAGAGTGAATGTGTGTGTGTGTGTGTCTGTCAGAGTGAGTGTGTGTCTGTGTGTCAATGAGTGTGTGTGTGTGTGTGTGTGTGTGTGTGTCTGTCTGTGTGTCAGGGAGTGTGTGTTTGTGTCTTTCTGTGTGTCAGTGAGTGTGTGAGTGTCCGTCTGTCAGTGTGTGTGTCTGTGTGTGTCAACGAGTGTGTGTCTGTGTCTGTGTGTCTGTGTGTGTGTCTGTCAGTGCGTGTGTGTGTCGGTCAGTGTTGCGATGGCCACGGTTGGACAGTGGAGGACCTGGAGGCACGCAACTCCACGTCACATTTCAACGTGATGTCGACATGCTCCACCTTCACTGGGTTTCAAGAAGTAGCGGGAGGATCCGCTTTAGCACAGGGTACGGACGTCGCCA